CATGCGGGCAGCCAGCAGCCAGCGTCGCTGCCGCCTCCAGCGGGAGGGTCGACGGCTATGGACTCCCCTAGGCGCTCGCGCTAACTAGAGCGGCTCGCCGAGGTCGAGCAAGAGCGCGCGCACGCGGCTCGGCACGTCGCCCACCTTGACTTCGCCGTACGCAAAACTAGAGCGCGTCACGCCGAGGTCGAGCAAGGTCGAGCGCGTGCACACGGCTCGACACCTCGGGAATAAACTAGAGCCCGATTTCGAGCGAGAGCGAGCGCACGCGCACGTGTAGGGCGCCCGTCTTCACTGCGCCGTACGTCTCAACCTCCATCTGCTCGAGGGCGGGCTTGAACCCGGCGATCGACTGCACGTCGTTGGAGAAGAAGCGCTTGAGCTTGTGCACGGTGCGGGGCAAGTTGAACGGCTTCTTCTTCGTCGTCTTCTTCTTCTTCTTCTTCGTCGTCTCCAGCTCCACCTCGACCTCTTGCTCTTCCTCCTCCTGCGGCGGCTGCGGCGGCTGCTGCTGCTGCTGCTGCTGCTGCTGCTGTTGCTGCCTCTGCTGCTCCTCCTCCTCCTCCTCGCGCGGCCTAAAGCAGAACAAGCAGATGTGGCAGATCTTACTTACCCGCAGCGTCAAGCGGCAGTGGCGCTGCCGTTTGCGGCCGACTGCCCGCGCGTACGCCGCGGACGGCCCTGCCTCTCCTGCCGCTGGCGCCGCGATCGCCTTCGCATACGCCACCGCCGCCTCCACCGCCGTGTCAAAGATGCCGATGTGGACCTTCCTGCCGTCCCGCTGGTACTTCGACTGGAAGCGGCGAGATGCCTGCTTGAACACGCCCGTGTAGCCGGTGCTGCTGCTCGAGAGGTGCAAGCGCAAGCCCTCCGCCTCCGCGGCCACTGCCGGAGGCTGGTACTCGCCGACCGCCCGCGCGTACGCCACCGCCGCCTCGACCGCCGTGTCGAAAAGGCCGATGGAGACCTCCTCGCCGTCCACCCTGTGTCGCGCCTGGAAGCGACCGGAGGAGGGGTACACGCACTTGTAGCCGGTGCTGTTGCTGCCCGAGAGGTGCAAGCGCAAGCCCTCCGCCTGCGTCGCGACCGCTGCCGTTTGGCGCTCGGAGGCCGCTGCCGGCTCGGACGCCGCGAGCGCTTCGGTGCACTGTGCCAGCGGCATCAGCTCTGTGCGCGCAGAGCCAGCCCCGCCACGGTGGCGCGGCGATGCGAGAGGTGTGGTGAAAAGGAAAAAATCCAAAGCCTTAGATCCTCCCAGTTTCTCCCACCCCTCGTTTGGAGTGCCCGTTTTATTTATTTATTTATTTACCAAACTCCTCTCCTTTAAATCCCGTTTCTTTCTTTCTTTTTCCCTCCGTGTGTGTGTGAGAGTGTGTGTACGTGTGAGTACGTACACACACTGTGTACATATACTCGCACACACATCCCTCCCTGGGGTTGCCTTTCTTTCTTTCTTTCTCAACAAACCTGTGCCTCGTCCGCTGTCCCGACACTGTGTACTACATCGATCCACAGAAGCATGCTATGCATGATCAGGGTCCCCCGCCGCCGCCGCCAAGCGCCTCCACCTCTGTCCGACCCGCAGGCCCAGCGCTCCCAGCCAGGCAGGCCGATGCCGACACAGACAGTCTTCACCGCAAACCGATCAACATGTGCTGGCACATGTGGGCAGCCAGCAGGCAGTCGCTGCCGCCTCCAGCAGGAGGAAGTCGACGGCTATGGACCCCCCTAGGGCGCTCGCGCTAACTAGAGCGGCTCGCCGAGGTCGCGCGAGAGCGCGCGCACGCGGCTCGGCACGTCGCCCGCCTGTTCACAGCTAGAGGTGTGAAGAGACGCTGTTCACAGCTGTCGCACGCGGCTCGACACGTTGCCCGCCTTGACTTCGTTGTAAAACTCTCGCTCCATCCGCTCGAGGGCGGGCTTGACGCCGGCGGTCGACTGCACGTCGTTGGAGAAAAAGCGCTTGAGCTGGTGCACGGTGCGGGGCAAGTTGAACGGCTCCTCCTCCTCGTCCGCCGCCGCCGTCGCCGCCGCCGCCGCCTCCTGCGTCTCCAGCTCCACCTCGACCTCTTCCTCCTCCTCCTCCTCTTCCTCCTCCTCCTCCTCCTCCTCCTCCTGCTCCTGCTCCTCGCGCGGCCTAAAGCAGAACAGCCAGAACCTTCAATGGGGTCTCGCCTTCCCCCAGCCTTCCACCGGCAGCGGCGCTGCCGTTTGCAGCTAGAGCAGCGGCGCTGCTGCCGTTTGTGGCCGACCCGTGCACTCGCCGACGGCCCTGCCTCTCCTGCCGCCCTCTGCAGCCACACTCCTCTGTAGCCGGTGGCGTTGCTGGAGAGGTGCAAGTGCAAGCCCTCCGCCTCTGTCGCCACTGTCGGAGGAGCCGGAGGCTGGTACTCGCCGACCGCCCTCGCGTACGCCACCGCCGCCTCCACCACAGTGCCGAAGGTGCCGATGTAAACGTGCCCTCCGTCCGCCGAGCGCTGCGCCATAAAGCGGCCATAGGCGTTCCGCCACACTCCTTTGTAGCCAGTGCTGTTGCCCGAGAGATGCAGACGCAAGCCCTCTGCCTCCGTCGCGACCGCTGCCCCTTGAGGCTCGGATGCCGCCCGCCCCGGCTCGGACGCCGCGAGCGCTTCAGTGCGCGGTGCCCGCATCATCAGCTCTGCGCCCCTTCCTCAAGTTTTGAACACGTCCATCGGTTCGGTATGCATGACGAGAAAATATAAACGGTCTTTTGCGGCGATACTACACAGAGCCGACGCCAAAACGAGAATACGCACCGTACGGCTTTAGGCAGGGTGCCGTCACAGACTGTATTTCGATCGATGTATTCACCGCCACTTTCCCAAGCAACATGCGGGCAGCCAGCAGCCAGCGTCGCTGCCGCCTCCAGCGTGAGGGTCGACGGCTATGCGTCCCCCTAGGGCGCTCGCGCTAACTAGAGCGGCTCGCCGAGGTCGAGCGAGAGCGCGCGCACGCGGCTCGGCACGCACAACAAGCGGGATTTGTGACTCTGTCCTCGATTCTTCAGTCGCTCTGCCGGACGCGCTCGCTTTGTCGCGAGGCTCACCGGTGTAAGCCGTGTGGACGCCCAGAATAGCCTCCCCTGGCTTAGCTAGAGTGAGAGATATTGTGCACGTGGTCAGCCTCTACAGTATATACACTGACACTTTACCTCCCAGAGCTCGTCCCGGTCCGCCACGGCCATCCTCGGCCTCCGGAGGGCCCCCGGCCGCGGCGCGGTGCGGCGGCGTCACAAATCCGACGTCAGTTCACCGGGACGCGATCGGGCGATCTGAAGTCCAACTAGGCGTATGGATTGCCCGCCCAGGGCTATCACCTGGACCCCTCAATGGACGCCTGCGGTGCCGCCCCCACGAGGTGTTGTTCACACCTGTCCAACCATTCGTGCAGCAGGAACGCGCTGTGTGTGGCTGGCAGCAAACTCAAATGACGACGGGTTGCAGCCTCGTAGCTCAACGGCAACATTGTGCATGAGGAAGGCTGATAGAAGTAGCACCAGCCACACAACCAACAGCTTCTGGAGAGTATGCGGAGCGCAAGCAGCCGGTGATCAAAGGCGTGTTGCTGTCGGTGGCAGATTGCCAGAGGGACGCCGGCGCTTCGGTGCGTGGCTTCGTCACAATTTTCCACCGCTCAACTTGGAGGCAGTGTGTCTAGTAGCGTGCTACACCTATGACGGCGGACCTCACTGGGGCGCCGACGTGCGACGACCGTCTGGGATCGAAAGACGAAACCGCGTCCCAGGAGCTCGTGCAGAGCGCGCTCCGGAGCTCTGTGGCGGGAAATTTGAAGGGAACGTGTGGTGGCTTCCCACCGCCTCTGTATGTGCCCAATAAAGTGCTAACCCGACCCTCGGGCAGCAGGGGGATGTGGCGAGCGCACGGAGGCACAGTTAGGCCGCCGTGATATCGCCCTTCCGGGCACCCCATTTCGGTATAGAGTAAATAAAATAAATAAAACGGACACCTCTACTAGGAGATGGGTAAAAAGGAACAGGTCCCCGCCCTGCGGTCTTTGTGCAGGGTTCTTTGTGGGTGTGGTCGGCGACTAGCCGGGGTCGTCCTCCCGATGGGGGACTAGCACTAGCCGTCTTCCACATGGTCCCTCGGGTCCCTGCCTGACTAGTTGCAAATACGGGTGGTGTCATAATGACCACTTCTGATGTTTTTTTGTCCGTGTTGCTCCCAGCGCCCTCGCCCGCGCTCCCTGAGGCCATGGCTGGTGCTACTAGTATGGGGGGCTACCTGGATACCGCGAGAGCGACCCAACTCGTCGACATCGTCCGATGATGGTGCCTCAAAGTTCAGCCTCCGGAGGCTATCGTCGCGTCGAGCCGGCGGTGGCCGCGACATGTGGTTCCACCACCCCTCGCAGGCTTTGCCTCTGACCGCCACCGTTCCCGGGCTGTCTAATGGGATGGAAAGGAAGGCTCGGCGAGCGTATAGAAGCGTGCTCGACCTCGTCGTGGCAACCTGCACCGCAGCGCTGGCAGGCGCGATGAGCGTCGTGCCACCTGACCCGAGACGGGTCGCAGGCGTCGTACCGAGCGCGTCGAGACCGTGTCCTGATGCGCTCTGCACGGGTGAGTCACGTCGGCGTCAAAGGAGCGACGTGTGACCTGTCAGAGCTTGATCTCCGATCTCAGCGGCGTCGAGTCGCCTTTGGCGGCGACAGCTAGGATGCATCTCCTCGGTCGTTTTTCGCGCTACGGCCCTGAGAAGCTGGCGCCGCACGCAGGCGGACCTTGTGTATGCGGCGAACGCTTAAAAAGTGGGTGGTCTACGTCACTTTTTTTGAGTAGATAGTGCCGAGCTGCCGTGACAGCGATTTTGGTAGTTTTGGGCGGGTTTTGCACGACAGACTTTTTGCAACTAGTCTGCTGCTCCTAATCTCTTCGTACATCCTCCTGCTGATCTCCGCAACGTCCTGCTCCCTCCCTCGTCTCGCCCTGCGCGACTGCTCCGCCTCACCGTATAGAGGATAGCCGTTTAGGGGTTAAGTTTTATTTCTAGGTATTTGGGACATTTTCGACGCTTTTGTCCCATATACTCGTGCAACAAGCCTTGCCTCGGCCTCGCTGGACGGTGGACGTGTGTGGCCGTTTTCTATATTCTTCGCGTCCGATCGCGCCTCCCCGCTGCCAGCCGCGTGTGTCTCTCAGTGCCACCCGACGCTGTCGTCGAGGCAGCAGCTGACCGTCTCCTCGTGGTCGAGCAAGCCTACGCATGAGCTCCACAAGCGCGTGACACAGAGAGAGAGAGCAAAATCGCACACGCGTCCATCGCCTCCGCTGGCTCGCTGCCCCTCACACTGCCCCCCGCCAGCGCAACCAACCGGCACACCATCCCGCGTCACGTAGCTCGGCGGGCTGCCACGTGCCCCTCTCACCCGCTCCCACGTCGTGGTCCCGCTCCCACGTCGTGGCTCGGCGAGTCTCGGCGGATCTCTTCGAATCTCGGCGGATCTCTTCGAATCTCGGCGGATCTCGGCGGTCGCTCGGCTAAGCGCGCACCCAGCGTCCGCACCGACGACGCGTCCAAGTCCGGCACGCGCGCCTGCGTGCGCGGTCGATGCGTCGACGAGTCAATGCTCGGGCGATCTCGGGTGATCTCGGGCGATCTCGGGTGATCTCGGGCGATCTCGGGCGCGATCTGGGTCGACCCCAAGGCCGATCTCGGGCCGATCTCGGGCCGATCTCGGGCCGATCTCGGGCCGATCTCGCGCGCGCCTCGCGCCGCTCGCGGAACCAGCCGACGACGCACTGCCTCTCCCTGTGCGTTCTCCTCACCCGGTGCTCCACCTGAGTACTGGAGGGGCGATGCGGGTGCGATCTCGCTGCGATCTCGCTGCAATGCCGGCGCGATGCCGGCGCGACGCCGGTGCGATCTCGGTGCGATCTCGCTGCAATGCCGGTGCGATGCCGGCGCGACGCCGGTGCGATCTCGCTGCGATCTCGGTGCGACCTCGATGCGATGCCGGAACGATGCCGGTGCGATCTCGGCTCATCTCGGGCTCCTCTCGGCGCGAATCTCGGCGCCTCTCGGCTAAATCTCGGCACCTCTCCGCTCATGAGGAGGACGAGCGTGCCGCCGTTCGGCGCCACGTCCTCGACGTACTCCTGTGGACCCTGCGAGGTGAGATATGGGGAGATATGGGGAGATGTGGGGAGATATGGGGCACCACGTCCTCGACGGCCTCTCGAGTGCTAGATATGGGGGAGATATGGGGGAGATATGGGGGAGATATGGGGGAGATATGGGGAGGTGTGTCCTCTCGAGTGCTAGATATGGGGGAGATATGGGGGAGATGTGGGGGAGATATGGGGAGGTGTGTCCTCTCGAGTGCTAGATATGGGGGAGATATGGGGGAGATGTGGGGGAGATATGGGGAGGTGTGTCCTCTCGATTGCTGGTTGGGGTACAGGGATGCGCGTTCCCGCTTCTAGGCCGTGGACCAGGCAAGCACCGCGTGAACAGACGCCGTTCACGGCCCCTCCCCCGCGCCCTCGGCGCTGTACCCCCCATCCCGACGCCTCATCGGCAAGCCCGCCTGCGCCCATCTCCGCCACCGCCCCCTCCGCCCCCTCCGCCGCCGCCGCCGCCTCCGCCGACCCCGCCTCCGCCGTCGCCGCCGTCCCCACCGCCGCCGCCGTCACCGCCGCCGCCGCCGCCGCCGCCGACCCCGCCGACACCGCCGCCGACTACTTCCGCCGAAGCAGCCGTATACTTTTGGCATTTGGGCCCTCGCCGGGCTCGAGGCCGCCGGTTGGAAAAGATGCCAAGCCCGCCG